CGGTGACTTGTACACAGTAGGTCATCTCGTCGGTGAAGCGGGATAGGAAGCTTTTCAAGGACTCGCCATGCGCCTGTCTCATGTCTTGAAGACGCTGAATAGGGGCCTCTCCTTCCTTGCTCACTGCGAACCTCTTCAAAAAGGTAGTTTTGAACTCGAGCCAGCTTCGGATGCTCCCAAATGGTAACCTACTATACCAGATTTCAGCCGCTCCACTGAGGGTTAAATGGAATGCTCTGCACTTCACAGCTGGGGTGGCACCCCTTAGGCTCATGTGAGTTTTGTAAGCGTTGAGGTGCTTTTCCGGGTCACCTCTGCCATCATACTTTGGTATTTTTAGCATGACATAGTGGCCCGGGACCTGGGTATTTCTCAATTCTCTTGAGAACGGCAGGTTCTCATCATCATCGTCCAAGTCACAGGACCTCTGTTGCTCATCAGAATCGTGTCTTCGGCTTCGTACCTCGGTTGTTGGTGAGAGGGTCCGGGCCGGTTCCTAGCCTCTTCCTCCCTCCTTTGCGGCCTACTTCTAGGCGGGATAGCACGGGGGGCATTTTCGTGCCTTCTCTCCGGCTGCTGGGGCATCGGAGGAAAAGGCTGTGGCCTCGTCCGAGGCTGCTGAGCCTGCTGTTGACTAGGTCCTGGTTCGGCAGGGCTGATTCTGTCAAAAACACTTCCTGCTCTCCTCTGTCTTGGGTCTTTCTCATATGGAGGTGGAAAGTTATCAGGGCTCATTTGGACCTCGGAGGGTCGGCCAGATGCATAGTTGGAGGAAATGTCAACTCCCACTTCCCTCTCGAATGGGCTTCCACCTCGGCCATAGTCTGGCGAGGCAACCCTATGACTTTGGACTTCATCCTCTTGCTGATAGTGCCCATGGGGGAATGGGGAAACCTCCTTGGCCTTGCATCTGAGCCATGAGCTCCCTCATGGCCAAGTTTTGGTTAGCTATATCCCTCATGTTGGCTACCATGGTAGCCATTTCTCTTGATAATCGTGCTGTCGCACGCATCCCACCTCTCCTTTGGTGGTGGTGGAGCCTCTGCCGAGCTGCTGGGACAGCAGGCTGGGGAGGCACATTCGTATTTTCTCTTACCCTCCTTGGGGGAGTATCTTCGTTAGAACTCATTTTTTTTTCTATCGAACCTAGATTTCTCCAAGTGGTAGGGGTTCCTCCTACTCTTTTTCAAGAACAAATCCTTTTCAAGGGGGGTTGCCCAAATATTTTTCAGTAAGCTTTTACCACAAGGTTGCTCGTGGTTATGGTATGATTTCCCACAGACGGCGCCAATCTGTTGACCCCAAAAAGTGCGCCAACAGATGCCGGTCCCACCCGCGCTTGCGTGGGCGAATGTCCAACACGCTAAGACACGTGGACGGTCTAAAACGAGCGGTTCAAAGGGGCGTGGGAGTAGCCCAACAACGCGGGACGGTGACGTTCCGGATCCGGCGGGTTGTTCGTAATCCGTTTGCACGATAATTACCAACCGGTGCTCGTAGATGTATATGTAAAAATGTATAGACCCGATTTGTGTATTGCAAGTAAATGAGAGAGAGTTGAGTAAATGTGGTTTTTAGTATTGATTCTTGCATTAGCCTTTTACTTTATACAATGGGGGTATTTATAGTGATACATATGGAATGGGAGTCCTTGGATGAAGTGGTACGTGGTCTCATCTCCTTAGTTCAAATGTCTGTTCTTAGGCATGGGACTTGACTTGCTAGCTTACGGCGCATTTATTGTTTGTGCAGGGCCTCCATACTAGTGACAAGACTTGACCTTTATGCTTATGACAAACGTTCCATCAATCATTCGAATAAAATCTGTGTAGGCGATCTCTTGGGAGAAGTGACCATGGAGGATATTTCCCTGTGTTTCAGAGGCTCGCGCATCAGCTTCGGGGTTTCGGCCATTTGTCATGATACTTCCACTTGAGGGCCTCAGCTGCTCTCAACAGGTTCCAGCAGCGGCTTCGGTTCATAGGCCTCGGTCAATGGGCCTCGGACAAGAGGAGCCTCGCGGATGGACTTCAACTCAATAGTTCGGATGTAGCCCCCACCTCGGCATTGTATGCCACCTCGGCAGGAATGCCACGCGGATCGCCATGAGTGGGCCATTGTCCCAGGTAGGTTGGCCAGGTGTGACAATACGCAACAGCCGTAGTGTTGGAAATTGGACAGAGATGGAATTAATTCCACATTCGTGTACGATAATTCATCAACAATTGAGCGGGAATTAATCACGTTCCGTCTATTTTTTGTGATGTCTTTTCTCTTTTCTTTGTTTAATTCCAACATTTTGCTCGACTAAATTATTTTGTGCTAGGATTTGCGATGAACCTTACATTATGAACTTTTAAATTTGAATTTTATTTATTTTGACATCAAAACACAATTTCAATGTTGAATAATTGACATTGATTAAATTTTCTCTATAATTACTTGAACATAATGTAAAGCCCGTCGATTTTTGGTGATATCTTTTATCTTTTCTTTATTTAATTCCATTTTGCTTTGTATTCTATGTTTAAACTAACATGAAAAGTAAACAGTAATATTTATTTATTTGCTGGTTCACATGTGAAAAAAGGTTTTTAAAGTATTTTATGTGCGTCCCAAACCTATTCTCTTTGTAGCAAGTTCGTCTCCAACCTCCATGGCCTTGGATTAAGTCTCCATTTGCCTAAATTTTGCCTCGTAGTCATTTTTAATCACATATTTTATGAATTTTAAAATTTTTATTAATTTTTTAATCAAAAATTTTATCAACTTTTATTAAAGCTACTAAAAATATGATTTCTATATAAAACAAACATAGGCTAAATTGCACAATTAGTTTTTAACGATAGAAATTTTTTGAGGACTTATTTTTTTCCAAACACATTTTAAGATATACAAATTTCATGAGATCTGCGATTTTTTTTCAATTTTTCAATCACATGTTTTATAAATTTTTATTAATGTTTGTTAAAAGTCTAATTTTTTTATCAATCAAACAAGGGCTAAATTGCCACTTGACCTTCTAATGTGTCTTATTTCTAATTTTTTGGCACGTCGAAACTAAAACGTAAGTTGAAAATTAAAAGTGATTGGTCACGAGACGATTTTACATTGAAGTTCAATAGCTAGGTTTTGTTCGATTAATTGTACAACTAGAACAAAAGATTGACGATCAACTTGTTACTAAATCAATAGATTGGGGATCAATACTGCGACTACATTCAAAAAATTCCAAACAAAATAGGAACAATTACAGTACATGGTCCTGATTTATTTGAATTATATCATGTTGGTTCACAACCTAAGCTGTTGACAAGTATAGTCCTTTTATGAAATGGTAACAAGTTGGTCTACCGGATAGAAGATCCATTTTAATAGTTGAAGAGTTCTTTTACTGAAAAAGAATTTGATTATAAAATTATTTGTTGAAACTATAATTTCATTTCAGTATTATTTTTGCAGAAAATTGAAAACTAAATAAAAAAAATAAAAAGAAAAAAGAAAAATGTTTTGGACCAAAATCCTACAACTTAGTCATTTGAATCCCTTTCTTTATAATCTTTCCAAAGGTTGATGACCATTTTTATATTTCTTTTAAGAAAAGAAACTTAGGAATTTAAGTGCAACATTTTTAAAGGTTTAGGACATCATTTTTATCAAATCCCTCGGTCCCTCCTTTAATTTTCATGTCAATCCTTATATTATGGTACAATTCTTTTCGAAAAATTGACAAAATGAAATTAGAGTTAGAAAAGGGGAAAAATATGACGAGACTCCCAACCTTTCACTTAGTATAGAAATCTCTCTAACTTTTCAAATTGAGGTTTTGACTCCGTCCACATATTGAACAATGTGAGTTGGGGTCCCTACGTCACGAGAAGTGTTAATTTGATCGTTAATAAAGTCAATTTATACGTGAAAAAGACTACAATGCCCTTGATTCGCCACTGACACCCACGAACCCTATCTCCACCAACCGCATGCTAAAAAAGATTCCATATTTAATTCTAAACTTAATTACAAATTCATCACATGCCCCTCATCAGCACTAGGCCGATATACAAAATCAATCATAATTCTTTCGTAGAAGTCAAATGTTATGCACTAAATTTAATATATAATTTTATGCAATATATTGTTATTTCAACAATCTGCCCTAGAAAAACAGTTCAAATGTGCAAGAAACTTTACTAATATGGACTCCCAATATATATCGGGGGTAGAACTTTCAGCGAGGGACGGATCAAGGATTGGATTCAAAATCGGACTATAAAATTTCAAACCGGGCTACTATGAGGGAAAAAAAGTTTACACATAAAAAACTGATTTTTTAACAAAATAAAAAATAAAAAAATCCCTTTAAAAAAAAGTTGTTGGGCCTGGGGGGGGGGGGGGGGCCCGCCCCCCCCCCCCCCCCCCGGGGACTACTACCCTGCCCCCCCCCAATCCATCCCTAATTGAATATCTTTCAGCATATCTTTCAATGTGATATTTATCCCTCAACACGCCCCAGCAGATGTCTGCTCATTTGAGCAAATCAATTTTAAAATTAACTTGCTTATTTACGGAGTCTTAACTAATTCGTATTGCTCGTTAGAGTTTAACAAACTATGATATTATATTAAGACTTAGAATTCTATCTTAAAAGAATAATCATATTAAGTGGAGTAACTCAAACCTTTGTATATTGATATATATTTTTATCTTTATTCAATGTGAAATTTATACTTTAACATAATTGTTTAGCAGAAACCCTACGAACCCCGAAGTAGTTGAAAATTTTATCATCAACAATTAACATATGAAGAAGAGGAAATCTATCCTTCGACTTCTTTAATTCAACGGTTTCCATATAGTGCTAAATGTTAATTACCGATCATTACCAAGTGACGCTCCACTAAGAAAAAATTGTCTAGTTTTTAAATTATATAATCAGCCGTACAAGTTTGAAGTTCTCATATATCCAAACCATTGCAAGTAATATGACAAAATAAAGCATAAGCCGACCTCAAAATGATCAAAGTAGCATGAAAAATAAGGAAAAAGTCTCAATAAATTGCACTTTATCCCGATATTATTTGAGACCTATTAGGGAATTTCAAGTGCAATTTTATGTGATAAGTTGCATCCAAATTAGAAATTTCCTCATCTGTTTGTGCAAAAATAGCATGGCCACGGGCAAAGGCAAAGGACTCCGTGCCACCAACAACCTTGAGTTCTTCTTTCTTTTTATGGCTTACATTCTTGGCCCGAATACTGATACTCCCGGAATATTTTTGCGTGTAAAATGTGAGATAAATAATGTTGAATGCCGAATGCGCAAAATGCTCGTTTGGAATTATGAATCCTTGTGCTTTTCCAATAACTCGGGACGTACTCTCAGGTCCCTCAGTTAGTGTGTGATGAAAGATCAAGGCTCCGGTGGTAGCCGGAGGTGCTACAGAGATGGGGACGGGGCTACCAACTTGGGGATGTTGAATGTACAGGGACAAGGCTAACCGGTGTCTCGTGGTGTTTTTTGTATGGGGTACTGGGGAGAATAAGGCAAGAAGAATAACAGAAGCTATGGCTAAAAGAACTGCAGTGCAGAATATGATTCTTTGCAGCATAATTATGCAAAAGATAGGCCGAAGTTTACTGTGAATTGAGTTAGTTTTGCTTAAGAGGTTACTTATAAGTGCTTTTGTTCACATCAAGGTGTTTTGGTCCACCTACTGCATTTTCAAACTTGGCACCTAATCCTCTTTTGCTAAGGTTACTCAAAAGTAAATTCATAAAAGACAATATAAGAAAACTCAAGGAAATCCCAATTGCAATTATAATGACATCAATAGGATACAGGCTCCAGCCTAAGACAACAACTTCACTTTCTGATCCAAAGGGCAAAAAGAAGAGAATACATGTACTAATCTCTCATAATACCCTCACAGAATTTTCTGGAGGGAGTAGAATGACATAAAATCTCACATCATACAAACTTCGTTCTCGAGATAGAAAGTGAAAAAAAATCGTCCAAGTGCTTGAAAACTTACCTTATTACAATGGAAAGGAGAAAGGGCTTTTTTCTAGTGAGGTTGAGGTTGAGGTTGAGTTTGAGTTTGAGTTGGGGCCTGGGGGTGGAGAGCTTGAAGAGCAAAGCAAGCCGCGCTAGCCTATTACTTTTCAGCAGCAATCTACTGTCCAGGGAGAAACTAGGGTGCCAAACTGCCAAACCTCTCCAATAAGGTAAGCTTTCACCCCTTAAGTAAAGGACGCAGTGAACTGTAATTGTGAAAAGATAGGAAGATCTGGCTAGAGAAGCTGATAGCCCTGTTACCCTGTCGATTCAATCCCATGGTTTGGTCCTTCCCAGAAAAATACATAGTGTTCACATCTGATCACTTTTACGCGAGAAAGGGGGACCACCGTCTAAGCCTAAGCATTCCTCAATGACGCATTGCGTACAAGTACGATTAAAGCTAAAATTTGATCATAACAATTACATTACGCAACATTTAATCAGAATGCACGGTCTACAGGACAAGTTACACTATGCCTTCCACTGACAAAAAAGAATAAAAGATATACAAAAAAATGTCGCTCCTAAAAAATGAATCAATTTACTAGAGGCTTAGCCTTGCGTATGTGACCCATGCTATTCACAAGATCTTTTCGAGTGCAAACCGGGAACATGTTGATGTTTCTTAATCCTTTGAGTCGCCAGAGAACATAAGGAAAACTCAGTTGATCACGAGAAGTAAAACGAACCACCTCATTAAACCAAAGGCACATGAACAAATTGGTAGTTGGCGTATGCTTCCTCACGATTATAGAAGCCTCAGCTAAAGCTGCAGAGAATAATCAGTAGTGTTTATATGAATAGATCATGCACTTTATAAAGCTTATACATATGCAGGAGTTATCCCCTTAACAAGGATGGAGAAGCTACTGTCATGTTAAATAATTTCAGTTCACCACCTTCCAGACCAGAATAAGTTTTTCAAGAATAAGGTACGGGAAATTGCACCGTTGATTCCCAGCATTTAAAAGGAGTAAGTTAAAACTCTTGCACGATCAATCCCAATGACGAAAACCATGCAAATCTATGTTAAATTGCCTTATGGGCCTCACATGTCTATATGAATCTATTTCCAACTCAGGCTTGTGAATAGAAATTTCAAGTGAACATGCTTCCATGAGAGCCACCCAACAATTTAACGAAGATTTGACTGTGTTGTGTTGTTGTTAGATCCATTGTCCAATTATAGAGAAAGATTGAGACCAACTTGCACTTTTTTAAAGGTAGGAGACTAGTTCGCTAATCGATCAATATGTTGGGTACCAGTCATGAAATTTTGCCAAATAAAGTAACTACTGAATTTAATCCGTAACTTCTTAACAATTAATCAGTTAAGGGACTTTGGTTTTAATTTCTTCATTACTGTGAGCACAAATATCATGGCATCGTTAATGTTAACAAGGCAGAAAAGTGAAAACACAAGCATACCTTTCTTTCCGTTAAATCTTTTGTCCTCTGGGAGGCCATCCCTGTGATACTGTTTTACTTGGATCTCGACTTCCTCTGGGGTTGCCTTGTTTTTCTTAACAACAGCCTTTGCCTCATCATACATACTACTGCGGGCTCCATGTTCTGAAATTGCAAGTTCTGAATTCGAACGCCAAAGTAAGGCGTCCAACACGCCCAAAGGATCCCTTCTGAATTGGGATTTCGAATCAACCCAGATGGAATATCTAGCACTAACAAAAAGACGATGGGCCAGCATCTGATGAAAATAGACATAAATTTGTCACGTCGCGAGATACAAATATTTAGGAGATTTGAAACCATAGGTTGTTTGACGATTTCAAACTGCAAATCTATATTCCATGTGATTTGATAATACAAATTAGTACACTTTGATAAGATGTACTACTAGTGCAAGTCAATACAAAGAAAGTCTTTTGCATTGAGAAGTTGATGTGACATGCATTGTGTGTATCGTAAATCCTAGTTTTGATTTTTGTTTTTTCCTTCAATAAGTTGGGAGGCGAGGGATGGAGCACAAGGAGGGAAATGAAATGACAAATCAGCTCCAAGAACTAAGGCTTAAAATTATGGACAACCATCATAATTCAGATGACTGAAAATGCAAAGTGACTTTGTCAAATTGCAAAAATTGATTTTGCACATTGGTGAAGTTTCAGTTCACACCAAAAAATTTTAATCTGTCAGATAACTCTGTTCACAGAATTATAATATTTTGTAGCCTCCTTCAACATATATAATATTTTCTTTCCATTTATATATTTCCCGGCAAAAGTCACATGTCTTTCAGATTCATTTATTAGTAGAGTTGCTAACAATGATTATATCAAAAACAACAGACTAGGATTCAGAGGACAAGGAGATAAAACTTTTAAACAAATTGGCAATTCAAAAGCTTGAAACCATGGAAGCCAAACGGGACTGTGAGATATGTAGGTCGTAAAAATAATCTTCCATTTAATATATTAGCTAATCCAACCCCTCACGTTGCAAGGAGATTTTCAATCTACAAAGCAAACAAATCGATCATCAGATTTTGTTTGAACTGAGAGACCAGTGCCTGATTTGGTTATTTTTTCCAGTTCTAGAATGAAAGAAAAAACTACAGGGTGTAACCTCTTATTCTAATCAATAATCATGCTATGGTGGAATAAATTACCACAGATTGCATAATACTTTTATCCAAACAAATTTAACATGATATTGCATGTACACTTTGAGCTATAAAACTTAGAGCATTAACATGTTATGAGTAAATAAGTAGTCCTGAATAAATAATTTTTTATTGGTTAAAGATGGAAACTAGTAAGTGACTTAAGTTGATAGTAAGGTAAGAGTTACTTTTGAACAAGGAACCTTTTTACTTTAAGTAAGAAAAAGTATCATGTCCAAACAATTTTGGAAACAAAGAGTTACTCAAAAGTAACTTCTAAATTAACGTGCTTTTAAGAACACAAACAAAATATCTGCCATATTCATAAGAACCTCCACAATTTTTCTGTAAGATACAATAAAAATACAAAAATTAACAAAGTTCAATCCCAACGGAATATGTCAAGAAAGCAAAAGAAAAGGCCAAAATAGCTAGTTTGCATCACCCCTTCATTAATGCTTGATCAGATATAGTCATTGCCGCCACATTAATAAAGAATTTCTACCTTATTAACGATTTGCGGCAATTGTCTCATTCAGATGAGGGCATATACATAAATTGTACACTGATTGTGAATGATGATTATTTTTTAATGTATTTCAATGTACGCATTGGCCCAGAAACTCTCCCGGCCAATTTTTTAATAGATTAATAGTGCTTGATTGCCTTTATCCATACAAATTTGTGGGAGCAGTCAAGAAACCAAGTATTTCCATACCTTTGGGATTTTACCATTCAATCGTTGATCTGTAAAAGGTAGATCTTTGACAATTATAATGCGCCACTTTCCTATAAAATGGTTTTCACCAACTTTATGTCCCTGTTCTTTCTGAGTGACAAGGGTAATGTCATCCCAAAATGCCACATAGCAAACCTGCATTAACTTTATACCATAAGCACATGTTTGAGTAAAATAAAACATACACAGTTGCCCTTCAGCCTTTTGCATCACAGAAGATAACCTTCTGAAGTGATGTCTCTGACATTCCTATAGGTTGATAAAGATCATCTCCACCACCAAATGCACATGTAGAAACCACAACTTTGCAAGTCTGCATGTAGTTTTTGTCTTCATCAGAAATCCTAAACCCTCCCTTCTCACTGTAGAAACCACAGTGGATTCCAGCAGTTTCAGTCGCCTACAACATTAATTTGGAAAATTATTATAAACCTCATAAAATAGAGTTTCATACAGAAGGATAACAACCATCATATATGTGAGCAAACAGGCAGAGGGGTGGACAATGCTTTCTGGAGCAGATGAAACGAGATATCTTGTCTTAGACTTAAAGAGAGAATATGCAAGATGCAGCTTATCACCTTAAAACTTCGCTCTCTTTGCTCAAGCGTTTGGTTTCCTGTGAACAAATTAAACCTTGTACCAACAAAATGCTGTCTAGATAGGTTAAAATTCCCTTCTTCAACGGGTTTTTCGGTCTCTGTCATGTACACTACTTTCTTGATAGGAATACCTGATTCTTTGTCCATGGGAATATCTAATTGCTCAAGTTCTTCAGGCGGTAGGAGCTTCAAGCAGCCTATTTGATTCACAAAATAGAGTAGTAAAATAATGAACTATCCACGTAATAGTGAAGAGCAATACATCAGATGCCAAGAACACAGACTGATTCAGTAAGTTAAATTGTTGAAACAGGATGGCAAATTCCAACGAGATCACGATATCCAAGACTATCATTTATTTACAAATTGATTGCAAACAAAGAGAACCAAAGCCAATGTTTTCCTTCTTATAATGTAGCGATCAGATTTTTTTCACAAAATATGGATGCTATCACAATAACAGTCAACTGGAAAATCTGGTCAAGTGGACAATTTCCATATGGGGTTTAACTAGCTATAAAGTTGAAAGGTTGGGCACGCCACAGCCGGAAGAAAAAAAAGTTGGGGACTAACTTGAAACACCACGCACAGGTTGATTACCAATTGTACTATTTTCCCTAAATAATAACCACACTACAACTAAGAGTAAAAACACGGGGAAAGCATCCTTGTCTTATTGTTTTCACAATCCAAAAACACTTTTCCTGATCAATAACCAGGCTGCAATGACAGCAATACAGATAAATTAGATTATTGATCTCATTTTGGAATTTTTATGGCATCAGAG